GGTTGCACTCCAAAAAAACCATGAGTTCATTTTTGGGAAGTCTTATAAATGGAAGCTAGGTTTCTAGTTTAACACATAAGCACGTAAGTGACCCTTGATGTAGCTGAACTATATAATATTAAATGCTTAAGTTCCAGATCCTGAGACTGGGTCTTGTGTCACATACAACATGAATTTCCTTCCCTATTCTTGGGGAGAAAACTGAAAGTAAGCAATTATTAAAACTAATTAACCTTTTTCACAGCCTTCTAGCTCTAACCCTTTCACATTCTGGGAGGGTACACAGCCCTAATTGTGCTTTTGGAACAATCCTATCAGTCCTCCTTAAGGGTTCTCTGTCCCAACAGCCCCTTCCTGAGCCGTCAAACAGTAATTCCAGAACTATGGAGCAATTGAGGAACATTTCAACAAATAACCCAGAAAATGTTACTTACTCCTGGAATATAACTAGTGCTAAAAGAAGACACCTATTATTTATTTATAAAAGCAAAAAATATTAGAAATCTAAGTGTTAATTTTTTTTTACAGATCTGGTCAAGTAAATTATGAAACATCTATATGACAGAACATTGTGCCATCATTTTTAAAAAGTTTACAAATAAGCTGCAATAACATAGGAAAAGCTTAATATAAATGATGAATAAATAAAAAAGGTACTAAATGCTATGTCCTTATGTCCTTTATGAATTCAACTATGGGAAAAATGCATTGAGAAAGATTAGAAGGAAATACAATTATTGGGTAGTATAATTTAGTGCTTTTTCCAGTCTACACGAATCCATACTTTCCATATTTTACCATAATAAGTACCACTTCTGTTATTTAAAAAAAACAAAAACTGGGGTGGGGAGGTGTAAATTCAAATAAATTTCTCATTAATAGAATTTAAGAGTGCTATACAGTGCTGTTTATCAGGCAACATGGAAACAGCTTTGTGGGCAAGGAGGCATTCCTTTCTTTGACTTTGTTAGGAAAAGAATTTAATTAGGATATTTTAACCATTTTATAAAATGTTTTGTGATTATTAAAATATTATGTATCACTATTGCCGTGGCATTTTATATATTCAATAAAACCTACTACTGAGATTTCTCTTGATTTAGGATACTGGACATGTAATACATATATCATATAAAAAATAACACAGGCTTGTGATTTAGATGCTTACTCCCTGGAAGAAAAGCTATGACCAAACTAGACAGCATATTAAAAAGCAGAGACATTATTTTACCAACAAAGGTCCATCTAGTCAAAGCTATCATTTTTCCAGTAGTCATGTATGGATGTGAGAGCTGGACTATAAAGAAATCTGAGCACCAAAGAATTGATGCTTTTGAACTGTGGTGTTGGAGAAGACTCTTGAGAGTCCCTTGGACTGCAAGATCCAACCAGTCCATCCTAAAGGAAATCAGTCCTGAATACTCATTGGAAGGACTGATGCTGAAGCTGAAGCTCCAATACTTTGGCCACCTGATGCAAAGAACAGACTCATTTGAAAAGACCCTGATGCTGGGAAAGATTGAAGGCAGGAGAAGGGGACAACAGAGGATGAGATGGTTGGATGGCATTATCAATTCTATGAACATGAGTTGAGTAAGCTCCGGGAGTTGGTGATTGACAGGGAGGCCTGGTGTGCTGCAGTCCATGGGGTCACAAAGAGTCAGACACGACTTAGCAGCGGAACTGAACTGTGATTTAGACAAGTAGGATAAGAACATTATATAATGAAAAAGTCTTCATCCCATCTTATGCTTTCCCAGATATAGCATGTCTCTGGCCCAGAAACTTTTCTTGCACATAACCCTACATATATACAGTATTTACACACTAATAGTAACAGCACTTTGATAATCTTATTTCATTTAATGAACTTAAGAAACATTTACATATCAAAAGTACACATCCATTTCATTCTTTGTAAATGTGAATTAATATTCTATTGGTATGCTGCTGCTGCTGCTGCTAAGTCGCTTCAGTCGTGTCCGACACTGTGCGACCCCATAGACGGCAGCCCACCAGGCTACCCCGTCCCTGGGATTCTCCAGGCAAGAACACTGGAGTGGGTTGCCATTTCCTTCTCCAGTGCATGAAAGTGAAAAGAAAGTGAAGTTGCTCAGTCGTGTCAGACTCTTCGCGACCCCATGGACTGCAGCCTACCAGGCTCCTCCATCCATGGGATTTGCCAGGCAAGAGTACTGGAGTGGGGTGCCATTGCCTTCTCCTCTATTGGTACAGATATAACACAATTAGTGACCCCTTACTGATATTTATTTCCGGTTTTCTCTATAATGAACAAGTCTTCAGTGAACATTCTTGTACAAATATGTTAAATATGTGTACAAGTATCTCCACAGATGAATTCTTAGATGTAGAATTGTTGAGTCAAAGACTTGTGTACATTTTAAAAGTCTGATATTGCCAAATTGCCTTCCAAAGAATTTGTTTCACTTTATGCTCCATGAGAACATTTCTAATCAACACAAATTTTTTTTTTTTTTAAGCAAACTTCAATGCCATCGATGTCCAGGAAAATAGTGAAGCAGGTTGGGGCAAGAAAATGGCAAATTGGAGAGTGTGTTCAGCATTCCAAGAAGGGACTTTTACTCAATTCCAGCCTCCTGCTAATGCTTCTAGGGAATCTCTGCCCAACAGCAAATTATCTCATTTCCCAAAAGTCAAAAATACTGACTTCTAAGCGAAATCTCATGATTCTTTAAAATGTTGACAACTTATTCAACATTTACAATTGGCATGACAAACAAAACCCACGTGTGCGTGGGAATTATCTGTGAGCCTCCAACACATAACCTGTGTTTAAGCTATCATTCTGCTACCCAAGCCAACAAAGGCTGTGCTTAGCATAGGTTTCATTAGATTAGATTACCTTTTGTTTTTAGATGAATTAGAAGATGGTTTTTATTAACTATGTGGTCACTATCCTCTCAAATAACTTTAATTAGACTTATTTTAATCATATTATAAATATAATGATTATAATAATATCAATAATATTACTCCTGCTCAGATGTTTTCATTAGTTCCCTACAATACGCTCCTTTGCCTTCTAGTTTCATTTCTGTAAAATGCTGTATTTCTCTGTTTTCTTCCTTATATGAAATTACCACATGTTGTAAGAGTTATTTTCCTATTAGTGTAATCTTTTACCCAAAGGGGAAGAAAATCTCTAATCACTTTTTTATACTTGCATTCAACATATTCATCTACTTACAGAAGAAATTGTGGGAACAGAATAAATTAGAGACCTGCTGCCTCTAGTTTAAATAGGAATTTTAATCCATATAAAACCTTTTTATATTAACTAAATTCTTAAAGTTTAGAAACTAAAGATAATATAAAAGTATAAACTCTAAAACTGCTATCTCTACATAAAAATATTCAAATTCATGGATATAAAACCATGAGATTTTAAATGTTTTATTATCTCCTCTCCATAAATGCCTGCAAAAGGACCAGCCTGACAAAGCCAATGTATGATTATAAACAAATAAATGTTTATAAATACTAAAATTATAAGCAACATAATATTAAATAACCTATGTGAAGTTAGAAGGCAATGACCTCCTGTACAAAAATTTCAAAACCCAAAGTTTTAAAAACTACTAGCTTCATTTATTTATAAATAAAGCATCTGAATTCTAATTTTAGAGCTACTAGTAATTTTAAGAGATTTTGTTTCTAATGTAATCTGTTGAAAGATGTTTTCTTAACAAAAAACCAACAGTAATGGAACAGGACCAAAAACATGTATTAAAGAAGTTTTATAACTTAGCAAAGCTTTTTTCAACATACAAGCCTATGTACACGTATATACATTTTGTCTATATTGATATACACATTGTCTATATTTGTCAGTGACAACTACAGTGGTACTGTATTTGCATATATATGAGAAAATATGTATAAGAGTCGTTTTACCAATAATGATGCCACTGGATAGTCTATTTTTAGTTTCCAGAGGCAAGGCCCTAAACATTACAAATTCCTCCATTAATATTTTTGAATGTCGGAGTGTTCCTGCTTCCCTCTTAAAAGGTATGCTGTAACTATTCAAATGTGTCTTTTCAAAAGAAAACTGATTAGCCCACCCTAAAATTTAAAAATCCAATGCTCTGTATTAGGTATATATCACTTGAATTCAATATTTTAATCATAAAAAGCAAATTTAAGGAAGAATTACATACTTAAATTGTAATCTGCACACTGGATTATGTTTTCAAATGTGACATTACAGTTCATAGATAAAACAATAGTAATGAAAAGAAACATAGTAAAATATTATTTTAATTTTATCTAAATATAATTAAAACAAAGCATAAGAATAACTTTGAGACAATAATTCATACAATACAGCAAAGGCTTTAATATATAAATCAGATGTCATTTCATCAGCTGTTTATTAGTCACATCAGTCTAAACTTTACATAATAAAATATTGAAACGCTAAAAAACATCATTGCAATATAGATTCAATATGGGAAAATACATATTTGTGGCTTTATACACAATGTAAATTAACCCATTCTATACAGTAGTTTTCCAAAATATAAACGGCACTTTACATGCAATAGGACATACCAGGCTGGACGTCCTAATACAATTTATTATATAGAAAAATAAAGAGAGAACACCTTTTGAACATAACAGTTACATAGGAGATGTGGAATGTAGAATATGATGCTGCCTTAATACACTCTTGGATAAGATTAAAGAAATGTGAAAAAGGACAGTTTCTATTATTTTCAATTAGCATTTTTGAAATGACAACTACTGTGATTTTATATTTTCTAATTGTATCACAAACTGAGAAAACATAAAAGGGAAAGTGAAAGGGAAAAAAAGAAAACCTGATCCTTTATGAATTTCAAACATCAGCCCTGCCTGTGGGCTGCATTTGGGCTGCTTGTCTGTTGACAGTTTCCTAAATTACTTCTGCCACTCTGAATTGCGCATCAGCAGTCAGATGTATTTCCCAGACTTCATCATGCCATTGTGTAGCCATAGCTGCCACAATGCAGCGCCACAAGAAGCCTGTCCTTGAGTATTTCTTTGCTTGGGTATTCAGGTAACTTGAGCATGTTGATGCTTTAAAAGAAAAATATACCACTATTAAATAGGAAAGCTCTGAAATATTTTATTGTTTTGTCTAGAAGTGAAAACACTACTCAAAATTAACATAAAACCACCCTCTCAAATTTGCATTCAAATTGGAAAACCCTGAAGTAGTATTTAAAAAGGAAAAAAAAAACCAAACCCTGCTACACTGCACTTTCCTTTAGTATGCAAATGTACCAGACAAAAATAAGTTCCCTCCAGCCTAAAATAAATAAGCAATAGGGCAATTAAGTTTGAAATGATGGCGTAACTCAGTGATACTTATGACAGTGTAACTTTAGTGATATTTGAACTATATGTATCCAATTAGAGTATAGGTGGGGCTTCCCAGGTGGCACTAGTGGTGAAGAACCCACCTGCCGATGCAGGAGACATAAGAGACATGGGTTTGGTCCCTGGGTTGGGAAGATCCCTGGAGGAGAGGAAGGCAACCGACTCCAGTATTCTTGCCTGGAGAATCCTATGGACAAAGAAGCCTGGCGGGCTACAGTCCATACAGTCGCAAAGAGTCAGACACAACTGAAGCAACTTAGCATGCATGCACACACAGAATCTAAGTAGGTAGTTTCCTCAAACATTTTCCCTACCTACAAAGCGGAAGGCAAGAAACTATTACTATATAGTTCTTTATCAGTGATTACAAAATGAACAGAGATCACTGTTGAGATTTTCCTCTCAATGAAGCAATAAGCAGTCAGACCCTTGATCATTTAAAATTAATCAGACAATTCACAGTGCATTTAAATAAACCAATTTAACATACCATGTGCTTGAAGTAGGTAGAAGATTTGGAGTATATGGCACAGCAGCAATTGTGAAGTTTTGCAATCCACTTCCACCCATGATATTAGCAAATCCACCATGTGGGACCCTGGAACTAAGAGTTCATATCTAGTAAGTTGTAACCATGCAAGAAAAATCTTTGAAATAGATATATTTCAAATTATAAAAATGACTCATATCTAGCATTCATTAAATATTTGATGAATAAATAAATGGTTTACTTGATTAATTCAAGCAACAGAGGCTTTTATGTGCAATCCAAAATGATTTCCCTGTCTGTGAAAAATATCTAGGCTCAAAGGTTTTTGTTTTGTATTCTTTTACACAGTGGGAAAACCAGAAAATTCTTTACACTTATCTTTCCAGAGATTTACATTGGATGCATTTTTTTAAATGTTACCTGACATGAGGATGCATTTGAATGCAGAGTTCCAAAGAATAGCACGGAGAGATAAGAAAGCCTTCCTCAGCAGTCAAACAATAGAATGGGAAAGACTAGAGATCTCTTCAAGAAAATTAGAGATACCAAGGGAACATTTCATGCAAAGATGGGCTCAATAAAGGACAGAAATGGTATGGACCTAACAGAAGTAGAAGATATTAAGAAGAGGTGGCAAGAATACACAGAAGAACTATACAAAAAAGATCTTCATGACCCAGATAACCACAATGATGTGATCACTTCCTTGGAGTCAGATGTCCTGGAATGTGAAGTGGGCCTTAGGAAGCATCACTACGAACAAAGCTAGTGGAGGTGATAGAATTCCAGTTGAACTATTTCAAATCCTAAAAGATGATGCTATGAAAGTGCTGTACTCAGTATGCCAGCAAATTTGGAAAACTCAGCAGTGGTCACAGGACTGGAAAAGCTCAGTTTTCATTCCAATCCCAAAGAAAGGCAATGCCAAAGAATGCTCAAACTACCACAAATTGCACTCATCTCACACATTAGCAAAGTACTGCTCAAAATTCTCCAAGCCAGGCTTCAACAACACGTGAACCGTGAACTTTCAGATGTTCAAGCTGGTTTTAGAAAAGGCAGAGGAACCAGAGATCAAATTGCCAACATCCGCTGGATCATCGAAAAAGCAAGAGAGTTCCAGAAAAACATCTACTTCAGCTTTATCGACTATGCCAAAGCCTTTGACTATGTAGATCACAACAAACTGGAAAATTCTGAAACAGGTGGGAATGCCAGACCACCTGACCTGACTCTTGAGAAATCTGTAATGGAGGTCAGGAAGCAACAGTTAGAACTGGACATGGAACAACAGACTGGTTCCAAATCGGGAAAGGAGTACGTCAAGGCTGTATATTGTCACACTGCTTATTTAACTTATATGCACAGTACATCATGAGAAATGCTGCCTGGATGAAGCACAAGCTGGAATCAAGATTGCCGGGAAAAATATCAATAACCTCAGATATGCAGATGGCACCGCCCTTATGGCAGAAAGTGAAGAAGAACTAAAGAGCTTTTGATGAAAGTGAAAGAGGAGAGTGAAAAAGTTGGCTAAAGCTCAACATTCAGAAAACTAAGATCATGGCATCTGGTCCCATCACTTCATGGCAAATAGATGGGAAACAGTGGAAACAGTGGCAGACTTTATTTTCTTGGGCTCCAAAATCAGTGATGGTGCATGCAGCAATGAAATTAAAAGACGCTTACTCCTTGGAAGGAAAGTTATGACCAACCTAGACAGCATATTAAAAAGCAGAGACATTACTTGGCCAACAAAAGTCTTGTCTAGTCAAAGCTATGGTTTTCCAGTAGTCGTGTATGGATGTGAGAGCTGGACTATAAACAAAGCTGAACACCAAAGAATTGATGCTTTTGAACTGTGGTGTTGGAGAAGACTCTTGAGAGTCCCTTGGACTGCAAGGAGGTCCAACCAGTCCATCCTAAAGGAAATCAGTCCTGAATATTCATTGGAAGAACTGATGCTGAAGTTGAAGCTCCAATACTCTGGCCACCTGATGTGAAGAGATGACTCATTTGAAAAGCTCCTGATGCTGGGAAAGAGGGAGGAGAAGAGGACAACAGAGGATGAGATGGTTGGATGGCATCACCAACTCTATGGACATGGGTTTCAGTAAGCTCCAGTAGTTGATACACAGGGAAGCCTGGTGTGCTGCAGTCTATGGGAGCTCAAAGAGTTGGACACAACTGAGTGACTGAACTGAACATAGTGAGACTACAGAAAGGTGAACAAAGTCAGAAGTCTCACAGTTTCTAATTTTGAAATTTAAACTACAAAACTACAGTAATCAAAACAGTGTGTACCGACATAAAGACAGATAGAAATAGAATGGGGAACCTCAAAATAAACCCTCAAATATACAGCCAAATGATTTTTGACAGGAGTGTTAAGAACATTCAACAGAAAAAGGACAGTCCTTTCAACAAATTGTGCTGAGAAAACAGAATATTCACTACAAAAAAAATGAAGTTAGACCTCTTCCTAACACTGTATACAGTTAACTCAAAATGAATCAGAGAACTAAATGAAGAGGTAAACCTATAAAATTCTTAGAAGAAAATCCAGGGGAAAAGCTTTATGACACTGGATTTGGTAATGATTTCTAGGATATGATACCAAAGACACAGGCAACAAAAGAAAAATAGATAAATTGGACATAAAATTAAAACTTGGGTGCCAAAGGATACCATGAACTGAATGAAAAGGTGAGCCACAGGAGAAAATATTTTTAAATCATAAATATGACAAGGAATCAATATTGAGAAAATACATTGGCCAAAACATACATTAAGTTTCTTCTGCAACATCTTATGGGAAAACCCAAATGAACTTTTTGCCCAACCCAATATATAGAGCTCCTACAACTTAACAACAAAAACCCAATTTAAAAAATAGGGACAGGGTTCAAACAAACATTTTTCCAAAGAAAATACACAAATGGCTTATAAGCATTCAAAAGATGTTCAATCAAAAATCACCTGTCATTAGGGAAATGCAAATCCAAACCACACTGAGGGCTGAGGGCTTCCCTGGTGGTTCAGTGGTAAAGAGTCCACCTTCTAATGGGTTTGATCCCTGGTCCAGGAAGATCTCACACGCTGAGGAGCTTAAACTAAGCCGGTGTGCTACACCTGCTGAGTCTGTCCTCTAGAGCCTGCAACTTACAACTACTGAGCACATGCACCACAACTTCTGAAGCCGGCATGCCTCAGACCTCATGCTCCACAGCAAGAGAAGGCATGGCAATGAGAAGCCTGCACACCACAACTAGCAAGTAACCCCGGATCCCTGAAACTACAGAAAAGCCTGTGCAGCAATGAAGACCCAGCACAGCCAAAATAAGTAAATTAATTCTTTTTTAATTTTAAAAAAAAACCTACACTGAGATATCTACCTCACAGGTATTAAGATGACAGTTATTTTTTTTAAAAAGGCATCAGAAAAAATACAGTTTTGGAAAGGACATGCAGAAATTGAAACCCTTATGCAACTGCTGAGGGTAATATAAAACGGTGTAGCCAACTATGGAAAACAGTAAGACAGTTTCTCAAAAAATTAAGCATAGGATTAGAGTATATATCCAAAAGAACAGAAAGCAGAGACTCAGATTTTTGTACATGCCACGTTCATAAAAGCATCACTCACAATAGCCAAATTGTGGATGCAACATAAGTAACTATCCATGGATGGAAGGATAAGCACAATGCGGTAAACACATACAATAGAATACTATTCATCCTTAAAAAGGAAGGGAATTCTGACATATGCTACACTATGGATGAACCTTGAGGACATTATGCCAAGTGAAATAAGCCTATCACAAAAAGACACCATATTGATTCTACTTATAAGGACCTAAAGTAGTCAAACTCCTATAGACAGGAAGTCGAATGGTGGTTGCCAGAGACAGGGGGTATGGGAAATGGAAAGCTAGTGTTTAACGGGCACAATTTCAACGGAGGAAAATAAAAAAGCTCAGGAGATGAATGGAAGTGATGGCTGTATGACAATGTGAATGTACATAGAACTGTACATTTAAAAATGATTTAAATGTTAAATACATCTTACCACATACACTAAAACAAACTGTCAAATAATGTACCAAGATTTTCTATTAATATTTATATCACAGATGATATGCACATATTCACAGAGAAAAAAAACAATCCAATAGAAATAGATCTCTAAAACTAAAAGTTTTCTTTTCTAGCTAGGAAGTAGTTTGGTCACTATTAAATACTATTAAATACTTTATTGATGAAATGCCCAAACTTACCTTAGAAATTCAAGTGAATGTTAAAAGGATGCCTGAATCTTCCTAACAAAACCCTAACATATGAGCAATTCCTACTTAGGGCAAGAGAATATCTAAAGACCTGAATATATACGTCAATAAAGTGAAATAAAATTCAACATTAGTTTATCTATGCATATTAACCTTTGCCTAAAAAATTAACAAAGGTGATCAAAAATAAAAAGGGATGAAAGATATTAGAGGCAGATTTTAAATACAAATATACCACTTCATCAGGACAGGTGAGAAAATGAGCCTTGACACTGATTCTTACACAAATTATAGCACAGAATTTCAATATCACAATTCATATAAATAAATTTTGAAAAATTAGGTGAGCCTCCAATTTTAATATCTAGACTGAAAACATTCTGTAAACTGATATTCACAAACAATACCTGAAATCTTACCCCTCTTCTAAACTAGAAACGATGACTGGGCCCCCTACCTGAATAACCCGTGGATCTTAAGCTAAGATTATGGCTCATCAAGCTTAAGCATGTATGAGAAAAATAAATGAAACTGTCTTTGGCAGAGTATTATGACACCTAAATTATACAATGTAAAATTACAGTTAATAAAAATGACATATTCTATTTTATACAAAGTAGTCATATAGTCTGACATTCATTACTAACAGATAATGAAACAAAAGTTAGAAATTTAAGACTGTCCTGTAGATAAACAAAATACTCTCACCACCATAAAAATACTTTAGTTACTGATGATACACATTCTTGCTCCTACAACTAGAACACAACTCTAGTCTCCTACAGCTCTTCAGTAAGATTGTTCTAGATTAAATAATGGATATGGAAG